TTATAGATTTATTTTTTTTTTTTGATATTTTGTAATTATTCCCCTTTGACTTAATTTTATTTTTTATTTATGTTTTATGCATTTACTTCTTAATCGTGCCTTATTTCTATTACCAGGCGAAATTTAAGTCAAAGATAGCGAAATTGCATACATCTTGCACCAACCATTCCAGACTAACCCTAAAATCCAATCAAGATAATGGATTTAATATTTGCCAACACTCTTTGTACCATTCCTATTAACATTACTTCTTCTTTATACTTCTCCTGGTCATTTGCGTGCAATTCGAATGTCTGCCACATTATTGTCAGCAACTCGCCACCGCCGCTGCCACTGCCACTGCTCCTACCATTTTCTGCTGCTTTGGCGGCGGTAACGATGAAGAGCAGCAACAGCAGCAGCAGTGGCGTGGCGTTGCGTGTGTTGGACTGTTGAATGGACGTTATGGTTCATAAATTCCCAACTGCATTTCTGCTGGAGCACAACGACATCGTTCGCTTTACTGGTGCTTGGACGATGATGTTGACGGTGGTGCTGAAGAAGTGATGAGCCGCTGGAGCCGCCCGACGACCGGCTGGTGGAAAAACATCTGCTGCTGCTGCTGCTGCTGTCACTGCCACTAATGTTTTTATTGTTTTCGGTTATGTTATTGCTCTCCTTTTTGTTGTTGTTGTTGTTTATGTTTAACGAGCACTCACATGTATGTAGGTAGTGGTGGTTGTTATTACACTATACGGCAAAATCAACTTTTTTTCTGGGTATTGGAGCAAACCAATTTTTTTTTAAGAGATTGACTCATATGTATGGAAAAAAGTGGTTTCTCCGTTTTTCGAAGTTAGCCGCCGAAATTGAGATATGGGCCTTCGAAGTTCGAAATTGGACCTGTGGTAAAAAGTGATTTTTAATTATTGTATGTAAACCACTAGAAAAGTAAACATATAGACGTGGCCCGCCTTTTGCTCTTATTTTAATCAGAGGGGTCAAAGGTCAGATGTTCGAAAAATTAAAAANGACCTGTGGTAAAAAGTGATTTTTAATTATTGTATGTAAACCACTAGAAAAGTAAAAATATAGACGTGGCCCGCCTTTTGCTCTTATTTTAATCAGAGGGGTCAAAGGTCAGATGTTCGAAAAATTAAAAATATATTTCAAAAAATTCTTGACTGATTTTTGACTTTTTTGATTTTTTATAGCACCTGTAATATAAGTTTGCACAAAAAAATTCCTATATTCTATATTTTTATTTATTTTTAGTTGTTTACATGTAGTAATTTAAAACATTTTTTTTTTTACCAAAGTTCCAATTTCGATCATCGAAGGCCCATATCTCGGTTTCGGCGGCTAACTTCGAAAAACGGAGAAACTAATTTTTAAATTATGAAACAGTTGGTTTTGTCCAATACCCGGCCAAGTGCTGTACAGTGTTACGATTGCCTGCTGTTGCTGTTGCTTACTTGCTACAAACTCACTTGCTTATGTTGGGTTTTATTAGTGATGTNATATTTAATACTTGCGCCGGGTATTTAATGTTCGGTTCCGCCCGAACTTAGACTTTCTTACTTGTTTTTGTTTGCAGTGTTGTGCTTGTTGTTGCACGCTGACTGAATGACTGCCTGTTGCCTGCTGCCTGCTGGTGCTGCCACTGCCACTGCCGCTTCTGCTGTTGAACTCATTTCATTAGGTTCGCTCGCTCGGCTGTTGCGCAGACGCATAAGTACCCATGTTGTGCCTAACTAAAAATACTCGTATGTACCTTCAAGTATGCACCTTCAAGTATGCAGTTTGTGAGTGCACCATCATCGGTACCATCAGCAACGCCACCACCTTGTTAATGGAGTTCATCCAGTTAGCAGAAAAAAGAAATGTTTCATTACTTTTCTTCGTTTTCTGCTTGTGTTCGTTCGGCGGCCGTACTGGTCGCGTACCTCAATCAGGCCGCCCGCCGTCGTTTTGGTCGGTCCGTCTCATTCGCTTGTCTTTTTAAATTATTTAGTTCGAAATGCCGCATATTTTTTGAAAATTTCAAATTTCGGTAGTTCCTCTACACAATGCTCGCCAACTTTGACTTCCATTTGCTGCAGTCTTTACGGTCTGCATACAGTGATGGAAATAATTATAGCCGCACTACGTTTTCACAAGTTTTAACATATTTTTATTTTTGTTGTTGTTATTTTTGGTTATTTTGTTTCGTAAAAATTTTCGAGTTTTTTTAATCAGATTTCCTAGAAAACTGCATATTGTAGCCCATTGAATAAAGTACAAGTTTCAAATGGCTAAAAAATTGGGTTTTTTTAGATTTTTTTTATCCCATTTGCTGCCATATGACGAATACACACAATATATTTTTATATGAAAGAAAACCGTTACATCTTCGACAAAAAAAAAAATCAAAAATATTAATGGTAATTTTTAGCCATTTGAAACTTGTACTTTATTCTTTTTTCTAGAAAATCTAATTAAAATTTTTTTACTAAAGTTTGCTGATTTTTTTTTCTAAATATTGCAGAAAGTTTGAAACTTGGATTTGCACGGGTTTTGTTCAAGAATGAACTATATTTTTTATAAAAAAAGTAATCAAAATTAAATAACAAAAAAAATAATAATAACATGTTAAAACTTGTCAAAATGTGGTGTGGCTATAATTATTTCCACCACTGTATTTCCACTTTAAAGCGCGTCATGTGTTTTGGTTCGTTGGCTGGTACTTGAGCGAGTTTGTATGTCTTGTTGAGTGTTTTTGACAGGTGGGACCCTAAAAATATGTTTTTGTTGTTGTTACTCTTATTTCTTACGAACCTTATGTCGTATGCGCTTTGTATTTTATGCTTCAGCGTTTATTTTTTTTCCCCCGGCTTCGTATAACCAAATACACAATTTTCTTCATATGCACTTCCCTATTTACCGAAAAAAACAAGGAATTGAGAAAAAAAAACAAAAATTTTTTCGGATACGATTCAAATTGCATTTGCTTAACGACGGCAGTTGGTGGCTTAGCTCCGTAAATTTGCTGAAGTTACACACGCTGCATGGCTATTTATGTACCTACATACATACATACATATATAGATACATATGCACTAATTTATTTCTTCGCAAGCTGGAATCCTTGTTGCTGTTTCGCAGGAGGCATCCTTGGTTGCCGTGAAGAAATCTGTGTTTTTGTGCAGTACAGTACTGTTGCTCACACGTTTAAGTCTCTTTCGATTGGGTCATTGCACTTTCCCGCTCGGATTTTTTGTGTGGTTTTTTGCATTCTGCCATATCTACTTTTGAACCACTATTTCTAGAAAATTTCAGGCACGCGCCAGTGTCATGTTTATTTCGAAGGTTTCCATTGTTTGTTGAGCGAGATTTGAAAGATTTAGTTTCACGAGAAGTGGCCACTACAACTTAGGTCTACTTACTAGGCTACTTGATTTCCTAAAAAAGGAACCGCTTGTGGCTCCTTCGCACCTGTGATCAGAGTGCATTTGATAATTGTTTAAGCTCTTGGAGGTGATCCATCGAAAGCTCCTGCGGAAATCTCGTTTTATCAGCGCAATAATGGGCTGACTTTCTATTTCCAAATCATTGAATCCACTAAGTGTTCTCGTCCATCTCATCTATAGGCCTATGAAACTGACAATTTTAACGTTATTGGACTAAAGAAAGATGGGAGTTAGATGAGCCGGTTAAAATGGGATATGCAAATGTTAGGTATGTCGGAAGTTATTGATTGAATGATATGAATCTAGCTTGCTACAATATACTGTTGTGAATTACGTCAAATTATGTTATGTTTCTCAACTGGGTGATTTTGGGCTTAGCTGTGTAAGTTATGCTCAGGCTGCATTCCATTCTATGGCAGCCTAGTGAAAAGTCTGAAGCTTTATTCACTGCTTTAATATACATCCGCCTCATTGCTTAGAACAGGTCGGAATCGCAGCATTCAATATCTAACGTAATTCGCATCGAAATTCGATATAGAGATTCAGTACGAGGCAAGTTCTTTCGCTCATCCGTGATTCCTTTCTTGATCAGTGTACGGGTACATCAAATGTTTGATAAGTTTGGGTACTAAAAATTAAAAGGTAACAAATATTACCTAAAAGTAAATTTTGTATTGTCCTTAAACCCATAAAAAATTCGCGCTTCCTTAAACCCTTTTACAAAATTTTTTGATGAAATACCATGAACCTGAAGTTCTACAAATTGATTGCTGAATGTGGCTCTCAGAATCAACTTTTAGTACTTGAAATATAGCGTTAAAAAGTACTACACATGTTTCCGACAAAATAGTTCTGATTATACATAAAAACGTTCATAAAAATTATTACTAAAAATAATAGTATAGAACATATTACTACTAAAAAGTATTAATACTAAAAATAGTATTACTTAATTTGTTACTACTTCTACAAATTTTAGTACTAAAAATTTTTGTACTAAAAATATTTGTACCTTTAATATTAGTCCTGAAAATATTTCTAAAAATATTAGTGGCACAAACATTTGTACTACAAATATCAGTACTAAAAATTGCTAAGCTAAAAATATTAGTAATAAAAACAGTAGTACTAACTAAAAATACCAGTACTGAAAAAGCATCACTAAAATTAGTAGTACTAAACATGTGAGTACTAAAAAAATGTATACTAAAAATATTAGTACTAAACTAAAGATATTAGCATGCACTATAATATTGGTACTAAAACTACGGTACTAATAATAATAGTAGTACAAATATTAGTACTAAAAACAGTTGTACTAAAAATTTGTGCTAACGATATTATTACTAAAAATATTAGTCCTAAAAATACTAGTACATACATATCTACTAACAATATTTGTACAAACTAGGTCTGAAGAGTTAGAGTTAGTAAGTAAGTCAAATCTGAAATACCTTAATTTTTAATTGCTAACAAGTTTTTAGTAAAAATTTAAAATACGTATTTTTATACATTTTTGTGATTTGCTTCCATTTTTTACTAAAATTTTAATTTTTTATCTTTTCTTTGCAGATTGAAACTTTCGAAAGCAAATTAATGTGCAAAACAGTACAAAATGTGCTACATCAGTCGCTGTAAACGAAAAACATTACTTTTGGTAAATTCAAGTGGAAAACTTTAATATCCACTACAAAACTACTCTAGAAAACCTTAAACCTGTGAAACAAAAAAAAAACCCCTCACTAAAATCCCAAAAAATCCCAAAACTAAAAAAAGCTATGTCTACGAAGTTCTCCGCGCATCCTGACTTGGCGGTCGAACAATTGCAACGCGCCGAGCTTGCAGCGCGACAGAACTCAAGCAAATCACACGCGCATCATAGGCGGCATCACTCTGTCGGTGCGGGGCTAGACAGCGGGCATAGTACACCGAGTAAGTCTACAACTTCCGCGAGTAAATCTGCGGCAACGAAAAATGCCCCCAAACTAATTTCCAATGCCACAGTAGATAAGACAAATTCAAGTGGCGCCGGCGCCGGCGCCGCCAGCGCAGCGGAGCAGGACGCGTATTCACGTTCATCCCCAATGCGAACTTTTATGCCCAAAACGCATGACACACAAAATGTGGATGTGCTGGACAACAAATTCGCCTATAACGCCGATGGTGTCGATATGGAAGATCGGATGGTGTTAGCGTATATCGATGATATCGATCTCAATTGTGACGATGAGGATGATGTTTACATACGAAATGCAAATAGTCGATCAAGAAACACCAAAGACTGTGTAGACTGTACGTCGTCGTCGTCGTCGTTGCGGTGGTCAGCTGCAGGCGTTGCTGCCTCATCACAACAACAGTCAGAGCAACAAGACGCCACTTCCGTGGATGAGCCGGATTACTTGCAGCATCGCTTTAGTCGAACAGCAGCTAGTTGTAGTAGCCGGCTGCCTCACAACAGCAACATCAGCAGTGATTACTACACCAGCGACCCGCGTGCCTCACCCATACACGCCATCAGCGATGGCTGTGTCAGTGGCTTAAGCAGTGCTTTAAGCTCACCCTCGGCCAGCACCGTATCGTCGCCACTTTCAACGCCGACAAGACTTGCGCCACATTTTCAGCAACAAAACCAAAATAACTACAACGGCAACAATTGCTGTCAAAAGTCGCTAACAGCGGGTGGTTGCTGTGGCGGCGGTAGCGCCAACAGCGACAGCGATAAAAGTTGCAATCATCTTCATCACCACCACCACAATCATCAGCATCAGTCGCCACAGCATCTACACAACCATCATCATCATCATCATACAGTGGCTTCATCTACGTCGCTTAAGTCCACATCTAAGACGGCGGCGGCTGCAGCGGCAGCAGCGGCATCATCATCGTCGTC